AGAAAGCCTCATCTTTCTCCCACGGAGCGGCTGGTAGTGATAGTGAACTGAAATAGTTAAAAGACATATAACACCAGGTCTAAAACTGTAGTAGCAATCCTGAAAATGCAGGAGTAATTTGACTAGTAGATTGTATTTGGCACGGCTTTTAACTATTAGTCTGTGTGTGCTTGTGTTCATTTTATATGGAACGTGCTTTTAAAAATGCCTAATGTTGCCTAGTTTAGGCTTATCCTAAGCTTCCGCTTAGATAGAGGAAGCAGGCTAGAAACAAGCCACAGTTGGGCTGGTATAGAGCTTAGTGAGGCCAACCAGGCCCTCGGCTCTCTCCCGACTCTCAGGTCCTGAGACATTACTGCAGCCCTGAGGGGAGGCACAGTGTGTCCTCGTTTGTCTCCTCTTTGCAGTCCCCTGGATGGCCTTCTTATTGAGGGAGAAAGATGGCCCTGAATCTCACTCATGTTAAGCTTCTTACAAATAGACTCCACTGAATAGCCCAGTTGCCCCTGTCAGTCGATGGCTTAGAACTGGTAGTGGAGACTCGGTTATTCAGACTGGGTGGAGTCAGGCTAAAGAGGGGCTGGCTGACTGGGCTCTTCTGTTCTGTGGTTTACTTTCTTCGTAAAAGGTGTTTTTAAATGGATACATTTGTATATGTAAATTTGGGATAGTAGTATTAGAAAACAAAAAGTAACAAATTCAACCAGCATTTTCCCCTACTAAAATAGCTGATCTAAATCCACTTGTTAATTCATTAACTCAAAGAAAAGCTTACCACATCCACCCAGGGTAAAATAATAATTACCCCAAGTCATGGGCAGAACACAGTTGGATTTCCATACAGTCAGCCCCCTCCTGAGCCCTTATAAAGACTTCTGTATTTTTAATTCTTGGATTTACAGCATGTGTCAGTTTAGCCATGTGTAACCTAAGTCTGAGACTGGCTTGTCTTAAAATAACATCAGCTTGTCCTTTCTCAGTTGCTGTGCCTTTGTGAATCGTTAGTACTGTCAGGTCTGCAGGATCGGGTTGTGCTTTCCGTCATACAGAAATACACGTAGGGTTAGTTGCTTAATTGGGGTCCCCCCATTTACACTGCCATTTAGATAATATATTTTGTAGAGAATAAAAAGCTACTTTTACTTCTATGGTACCATTTTTTAAAAAATACCTTTTAAAGCTAATGGTTTGAGGAAAGAGCTTGGTCTCAGGTATCTTCCTGTTGTTTGAAAGACTAATATTTTCTGATTATGGCAACTAGTGGAAGGGAATCTCTTAGACAACCTTCACAAGGTCCTAATATACTTGTTGACTTGCTTTTCAAGGAACTTTGTATTATCCAAGAATAATACAAACTTTGGTTGGTATTATTCTAGGATAATATTTTAATGCAGTTAATGTTCTTAGTGTCTTTATTTCTTTGACTAAATCACTGCTTTTCCATATTGAGAATGGATTTTTATCCCCTGTCCATATTACATTGGCGTGATACTAGTACCTGGCAATCAATAGCTTCTACACCAGCAAAGATGTTAGAGACTAAAGAGCTGGCTCCTCTGGGACCCAGTGAGGAGTGTCGGCCCATTTCTTAGCAGATGGTGGAGTGAAACAATAGTATTGTTCGCTCCACCTCCACATGACCTTTTGGAATATTGTTTTCAGCATGGGGAGCATGGAGCAGCCCCCCTCTGTAGGTGTGAGCTCAGGTTTGTAATGACTGTAGTCTTGAATAGAGAACATTGTTCCTCACTAACTGAAAGTCTCTCTCCTTTAGTATGTCACCGTGCAGACCATTTCTGGAACTGGGGCATTAAGGATCGGAGCCAGTTTTCTGGTAAGTCTGGAATCTCCTTCAGGAAAAGACCTCCGAAGTGGTCTGTAAGTTGAGGATGATGGAGTTTCCTGCTACATGTGTAGTTGACCTTTGATCCAAGAAGTAGATTTTCCCTCAGCACAAAGCTGGCAGATAAATGGAGTTTAAGAAAAACCCAAAGTACTTTGAGGAAACTGGAAGATACCATAACTGTAATTTATTGCACACTTCCTGTTACCAAGAGCTCTTTGCATTTTCCCACAGTTCTCATAATAATCCATGAGGGAAGGGCAGTGATCCCCACATCACAGGAGAAGAGAGTGACCATGGCCACCTGGCCATGTTAATTTCAGAGCCGGTAATCCAACCCAGGTAGTCCTAGTCGATCCTGATTCTCAACCACAGAGAGAAGCTGATTCCAGTAGAGGAAAACACCCTCTCAATAAAAACTAACCAAGCTCTTCAATTTGCCTTTTCCTTCTTCTTTTTCCCATCCCCTTCCATTTCATCTCTTAGCAAAGATTCTTTAAGTTCAGCCGAGATGTCTTTCTGCCCAAGCCATCTTGGGGAAATCACACACCCATCTTCAGGGACGCTGGCATGCAGCTCCATGGTTACCGGTACTATGACCCCAAGACATGTGGCTTTGACTTCACCGGCGCTCTGGATGACATCTCAGTAAGTGTGGCTGTCTGGGCAGGAAGGGTCGGGAAACAAGAAATCCACCTGTTTGTGGAGATGAGCTAGTTCCAAGGCCTTAGGTTACCTTTGTCCATTGTCAAATAAATGATAGTGACCCTGAGGCATTTCAGGTAAGCTGTCTCTTGTAAAGCTACAAACCAATCTGGGTTGCTGTTCTCTTTAGAAAATGCCAGAGCAAAGTGTTCTCCTTCTGCACGCCTGCGCTCACAACCCCACCGGAGTGGACCCACGTCCTGAACAGTGGAAGGAGATTGCCGCAGTGGTGAAGGTGAGAGGCCATGTCTATGGAAGGCTGCCAAGAAAGGGCTGTTTGTCTCCAATTAGCACTTCTGTAACGGATGACACATGAGCAGTCTGTGGTGCATTCTCTGCAAAGCTTGTCGCTGATTAGCATGTGCAGGTGACACCCATGGATGGACCCCAGTGTGTCTGCTGCCTGTGCCTACATTTCCCCCGTCAGTGGTTGGTTGTTCTCCCATATACTTTTCATGTCCCTCCTCTGCTTGTCATTGTCCTCAGCATTGTCATATTTGTTCTTAAAGTCAGCTGTCAGAAAAGACATTAATCAAAATCCCTAAAGAGAACACTATGCCTCCTGTTGCACCACCATCTCACATTAATTCCTGTTTTCATATTCTGTCAAATCTGAGCTTCAAGCAAAGGCTAAGGTCAGAAAGCAACATTCACATAGTGCCTTCAAGATGACATGGTTCCCATGAGCCCCGGCTGTAAGCCTGCCAGGGCTACAGTAGCCTTATGCTACTTAGGCTGATGCTGAGTTTTAAAGCTTCGTGGTCCTGCGTTTACTAGACCAAAATAATGACCCAGATTACTGTGGACCTTCGAAGAACTTCCTGTGTTCTTGCTATTCAGAGGCAGCACTTCTGGGCAGGTTGAATTTCAGGTTTTGTTTTCTTAGTGTCTTCTCAAGAAACCATATCTAACAAAGTAAAATGAAAAAAAATGTATGTTACTATCTTAACTCTAGAGTTACTGGAGATACAGTAACTTCCAAATCACCACTAGGTGAGAAAACTGTGCTGACTGGCTTTACGATGTAGAAGGGGTCCCAATACGAACAAGTAACCATCTGGGGCCTCTTCAGAGGAACTACTTAAAGCTTTGATCTTCTCTTTCCTTTCCAGAAAAAGAAGCTTTTTGCATTCTTTGACATGGCCTACCAAGGTTTTGCCAGTGGCGATGGTAACAAGGATGCCTGGGCTGTGCGCCACTTCATTGAGCAGGGCATTGATGTTTGTCTGTGCCAGTCATACGCCAAGAACATGGGCTTGTATGGTAAGCTAGTAGACCCAGTCTCATTCATGTTCAGATGAGTCTGCAGATGAGCTGGGAGAGGATGCCACAGAGGAGTAGAGTTTGACTGGTGAGAGAGAGGTGTGCGTTTGTATGTCCATCCTCATCCATCCAGAAAGACTGTCTGCTGGATTTTACTGCTCTTCTTAGCCATATCTTCTTTACTCTCCCTGAGTTCCTCCACCAATAAAACTGATGACTGCGTCTCTCAACAAAGAGTAACTAGTCTAGTGTTGCTTGGTACTGTATTTTTTTACATTGATCTGCTGATACTAGTTTATAGGTTCAAAGAGTATATTTTCATGGAGCCAGAAACTAATGTCTTTTTTTTCTTAAAGTTTTTATTGTTGAGTGAAAGTTTACAGGGCAGATTATCAGTTTTACATTCAACAAATCATATACTTTGTTTCATTACAATGATTATAATCCCCTCCATGTACCATCATCACTTAACAGTATTTCTCTC